GGTTCTGCCTTCCAGCTGTTGCTGCTTGTTCTCGCGATATTTCGGCCGCTCTTTGGAAAGCAGAGCTAGATGGTAAACAAACATGGCAGCACACCGGTAAGGTAAGACAACACGTTCACATGTCGTTTTCTATATGTTCTCTGACATTTATCCTAACGATATGAGGCGGTCTTTGTGGAAAAAAGCTTGTTTAGTGGACTAACTTTGCACTTGAAGGTTGCCCGTTCACTTACGTTTTAACAGGTCTGATGCTACTATGCGCCCCGGCTGTATCTAGGCTAACGGCTAACATGCTAACTATTATTTTTATGTCACTAGTCACTTGAAACAAATTTAGGACGATAGGAGACAGGTTGAAATAAACTGAAATTTCCATTTAACTTCCTGAAGCTTTCTTCTCAGACTGGGCGGGATCACAGTGTCTCTGGGTCAACAATGTCAATTTGGGCTGTGTGTGGCGAGCACCGGTCGCACAGCAGCCGTCGGTCCGTACAGGCTAACATGAAAACAGGCAGCCGACATGCTGCCTGTTTTCATGTTCTGGATCAAAGTGCTGCCACACCGTGCTGGTTTATGAGAGGACATCTCTTCAGTTTAAAACTCCAGTCTACTGGAGCATTACCGCGGGGAGGGGGACTGCTGTCTGACCGCTCTGTAGCACCCACTAGTGGCGGGCGGCTGCATGACAGTTAAGCTGCCTTGTACATGAATAAAACACTAAGTGGACTAACCAACTAATATTTCTGGTGCCGACTAACGAGGGGGCGGACGTTTAATCGTTTAGACGGCTAATCACGCACACCCCCAGATTAAAATACCTTTAAGCAGAATACTGAGGTTAGTGCAGAATTGGAATACAGCGGTGTGTGTGTGTGTGTGTGTGTGTGTGTGTGTGTGTGTGAATAAATGTGGCAGGCTGCCCGCTGAGTGATGATGCAATAACGTGGGCTGCTCTGTGTGTCTGGCTTCATGTGATATCAGCTCTTCTGCTCAGTTAGTTCTCACATTAATGCTGAACTGGATGATGAAGCAGTTTGACTTCCTCCATGAGGAAGATGAGTGAGCAGATAGTGACTCTGCAGAGAGCTGAGAGGTGACCTCCAGCGGCCGGAGAGCTGCTGCGGGCATCTGGGTGTGACGGTGCAGAACGGAGCGGTCGCTGAGCGTGTGACTGAAGTCTCGTTCACTAACTTACCAACCATCAACCCCACCACGCAGTTACAGGTCAAATACACGAAGCTCTGAGGCGTCCTGCTGCCATGAAACTGAGTCCACAGGAGCTGGAACGTCTGTGTCAATTTGTGCACAAAAACAATCTGATTGAAAACGCCAAAAATATTTAATAACACCCAACAGAGCTTCACCTTGCGACCAGTGTTTGCTGGAATAATGATTAATGATTCTGGGCTCAAATCATGAGTTCTTTTTACAGCTGAATCTGATTATGAAGTATATTTGATTATTTTATCCTCTGCAGGTGTAACACAGCAAGCGGCTTCATCTGGGATGTGATGAGAATCATCCAACATCACAAAGTGAAGATATGTCGTCTTTGTTTTTGTTTGTCACATTTTTCACTTCATAATCTCAGAAAACATTCAAATTGCTTTTTCATCAATTTGTGACTTAAATGTCGGAGAGTTTTTTCTCATACTTCTGACTTTATAGTCTCAGAGAATATTTTTCTGATCTTCAATTTGTGACTATAATTACAGAATTTCTGATTTTTTTTCTTGCTGATTGTTCTTGTAAATTTGTTTAATCATTATCATGTTTTCCAGCATTTTTTTAACTTTTTAATCTCTGAGAGTATTTCAGGATTTTATCATAAATTGTTCTCATACATTTCTGAGTTTAATGTTGGACAGTTTCTGAGGTTTTTTTTTCAGCAGTTTTTTTTTCATCCTAAAATTTGGACCATAATCACAGAGAGTTTCTGATTTTTTTTTCTTGCAAATTTTTAAACGTATAATGTCAGAAAATATTACAGTTTCTATTTGTGACTTTAATCTCAGAAATTATTGGATTTTTATTCTCCTAAATTTGTGACTATAATCATATATTTTTCCCCAGTGTCTGACCTTATAATCTCAAAGACTATTCAAGTTTTTAATCTTTTAATTTGTGACTATATCAGGAGACCTCTGATTATTTTCTCATAAAGTTATGAGTTTAAAATCTCAGAGATTAATTTGTGAGGTTTTTGCAAATGTCTGAATTTATAATGTCAGAGAATACTTCAGTTTCTTTTTGTATATTTGTGATTTCAAAAGAGACTATTTAACTTTTATTCTTGTAAATTTGTGACTATAATCTCAGAGACTATCTGAATATCTGACATTTTCAACTTATTTTCTCGTAATTTTTTTTTTTTTTTTTTTTGCGTAAATTAATGATCTAAATATAATAATTTTTTTCTCTGAATATTATCTGCCTCCTCTGGCTCCGTATTTATTTATTTTTCGCCTTCCAATGGTCCTGATATGCCATCGTACCGATCACATCACTCTGCAAAGTAATAACCCCAATGAGAGCTTTGTATCCTGGGGACAAACATGTATTCACTATGTAATACACTGATATATAAGTGTGTGTGTGTGTGTGTGCGTGCGTGCGTGCGTGCGTGCGTGCGTGCGTGCGTGCGTGCGTGCGTGCGTGTGTGTGTGTGTATGTGTGTGGTGCGACCCACCGATGCAGCCCTGGTTGTTGTCGTCAGAGACGCTCCACAGCAGCTCTCTGTGGGCGTTGCTGATGTCGGGCTGGACCAGTCGGACCACTTGGTTCCAGTTAGCCTGGCTCACCACGGGCTCCCCGCCCTCCTCTCGCTGCTCCTGCAGCACAGCGAACGCTCGCACCATCTTGTGCCTTTTGGCCCTCACCAGCTGCCGTACCTCCTCCTGGTGGAGCGACAGAACATAAAACTGAGCTGTCAGAGCATCAGCGAGATGGTTTAAATATTTCTGAGCTGATTGAGCGTCTGCAGGTCCTCCATGTGTTTGTTTGTCTGACCAAAACTAATATTTACTTCAAGGTCTTTAATGTCATGCACACAACCATTTACCCTCTGCTAAGCCCCGCCCCTTTGTGATGGTCTGTCAAGCTGTTGGAGCTAGCATGGAGCAGGGTCCTGCACCAGGACGGGTAACCCTCAAAAAGCTGTGTGACGAGTAAAAATATGTGTAAATATAAATCCACAGGAACTCCACGCGGGCGGGCAGCAGAATTAAACAAAGTGAAAAGAAGTGCAGTGTGTGTGTGTGTGATATTCAGACATCTGTGATTTGTGATATTGGGCTTTATAAACAAAATTGATTGATTGATTGATTGATCTAAGTCACTATGAAAATGAAAATCTTAGATCTCAGGCTCCCTTCAATAACGCAGCACTACAATTATTAAATATGCATCAAAGAAAATCACGCAAGTAAAAAATTAAATTGGAATCTAAGACATGAATTAGTTAAATATATACCAGATATTATAGAGCCTAACATACGTATATGAGACATACATTTGTAAAACAAAAAATTGTGATAGTTTGCAAATGAAATGTGTTTCTTAGAACAACATGATATAAATATGTTCACAACTTTTTAAAGTTTAACCAACTGAAACAGTCAAAGACAAAAAACACTTCACAATGTCAAAGTCACATTAAAGAAATAAAAGAAATCATTTTGTTTTGTAAACAGTCTTGTTTTGTGTTTTGTTCAAATGTTTCATTAAATGTCATTTGTTTACACTTTTGCTAACTGTTTTTTGTTTTGGCACCTCAGAGCCACCGTACCTGAGGTTGGATTCTGTTTGACATTAAGAGAGAAAAGATGAGGACTCGGTTGTTGCTGGAGCGACTGAATCTCAGAGAAACTTTGATGTTCGATGTGTTTTTCTAAAACAGCTGCGTGTTTCAGACTGTGACTCCATCGTACCTTCAGGTATTTCTTGTAGTTGTTGTAGACGACGGCCAAGAAGACGGACATGAAGATGTAGGTGTTGATGAGGATATACAGGATGAAGAAGATGGCGAAGACGAAGCTGGTGTTGTACGCTGGCATCCTGCCAACCAGAGGCAGAAAACAAAACGTTCAGATAAAACAGATAAGCGTTTCTCAAAGAGTCACTTCCTTCTTCTTTTTCTGTGGAAGCTTCCCTCTCGTCAGACGCATGAATGAAGATCCTTACGAAGTAATTCTTAAAACTTTTTTGATAATTCATCCTCACAGATGCAAAACTGACATCTTTAAAAAGAAGGTGGCTGCTGTGCAGGTGGAAAAATGTAATAGAAAAATATAATTAAGTTGAAAATCCGTTTCAAATCATTAAAGCTGATGTGAAATTTACTGCTGCATGAAAAGTTTAATCAACTCATTTTTTATCAGGAAGCAGAAAAATTAAAGCAAAATATTTTCAAATACTTCAGAGTTTGTAAATGTTCTGTGTGACTTCAAATGTCAAACTAAAGGGATGAAATTTGAGCTGATGGTGGTTTCTGGAGGAGGTCAAAGGTCACGATCAAATCCAAGTGAAGACACAAAGAAGAGTCTGAAAGTCTCACATGACGTCAGGGCTGTTGGCCGTGGTGACGAGGACTTACAGGTCGAAGACAATCTCCAGGTAGTTGGTGAAGTACGGCTGTCCGTCGATAGTCTTCAGACCTCTGCACAGAAAACACACACAATCACTCTTCTTTATATATTTTGTTTTGTAAAACGTGAAATAAACAATGAGCCTCAAAGAACCTCAGATTCATAACTGACAGAAGGTTCACACTGTCCCAGCTGCTCTTACTGACATGGAGATGTGGAAATGCACCTTTAATCTGACTCCTGCCGCCTCAGCAGCGTTCACACACAGCTCCTTTAAAGCCGCCTTAAATATCAGATTATAAATGAGTAACAGGAAGTCCTCTCACCGTTTGCCCAGCAGTTTGAGCGCCATGAGGGAGAAGATGAGGACGCTGAACATGAAGAGCAGGAAGACGTAGAAGATCTGAGGCAGAGCGTTCCGGATGCTCCTGAACGCTCTGCGGAGCTGAACACAAACAAACAAACAGAGCTGATGAAGCTGCTCGTTCTCCCGGAGGACTTGAACGCTCCGTCCTCTTCAACACAGACACAAACTAATGATGCGTTCAGGCGCCGTCGGCTCAAACATTTGGCAGCAGGAAGTTTAAACAGTAGAGTTCAACAGAACACAATCAGGATCATCAGTGATGAGATACCACTACAGAGTGAGACACCTGAACGCACCGCCCCCGATCACATGACCACTCTCTTAACGTCTTCTTAACGCCTGGTATGACAATCTTATTTTCTTCACATTACTAAAAATGTATATTTAAATAATTTTTAATCGCCAACTCAGGTTAATGACTGGACGAGAAAGAGAAGATAGAAAATGTTACAAAATTCATTCACTCAAGGCCTTTTCACACCAAGTCTGGATTTATTACATGCGTTTTTTAAAATCTGTTATCCGATAAAAATCGCTTCACACAGAATCCCTGCAGCCTCTGACGCTATTCATTGTTTATTTTATATTGAAAGTTTGCGACAGAGGACAAAATGGAGTCGTCAAGCAGTGAGGATGATTTTCTGGTTCGTTTTACTTCTTGAAAGTAGAAAAAGAAATTAAAGCTACAAGCAGCGATGAGCGGGCCTTCGCACCATATAGGAGTGCTGCTGGGACGCTGGTTGATGCGGCCGTGACTTAAATGAAAGTCAGACACAGCTTGCAGGAATTAGATGGTATTTCCTGCTTGGAGTGCGTGACGCTGGAAATGACCTACTGCTAATTCTGTACAACTTCCTGTGTCCACTAGGTGGTGCTAGAGAACATGCAGTGATTATTCCTCATGTGTGAACCATGTTAACGTGAACAATCTGTGTCACATTAAACTTCCTGTTGTCAGTAGGTGGTGCTGTGACTCTTCAGGCCTGGATTTTCATCCAGCAGGTGACGTTTAGAGCAGATCGGACCATGTGACGTCATGTTACAGCAGCTTCCTGCGTCAGGTTGAAACATCAGAAAATGGCGCTCCGAGCGTCGCATGAAGGCTCACTCATGCTCAACGTTAGAGACAGAGGACACTTATGACCCTCGACACAAAATGGGTCTGTCTGGGTTCACTGCGTGCTGCCATTTTGTCTCTTCGTCCACACTGTTGTAGAAGAAATAAATCTAAAAGGTCCAGATCAGAAAGTCACTTTATTTACGTTTATTTGATTCCCAACCAAAAAACCTTCACCTGTTTAATCTGGACTGCAAAACTGTTTTAAAAAGCTGAATAATAATAATCAGAGTTTAACAGCCCTAATTTGATCAAAGGAGTCAAAACCATCAAATTAACCTCATAAGATGTCATGACGACACGAATGAAAGCATGGCTGCTGACTGTGGGTTCAGACAGGTGACACAGGTGAGACGGGTGAGACAGGTGACACGGGTGAGACGGGTGACACAGGTGAGACAGGTGAGACAGGTTACCTGCCGTCCCTCTGTGATGTTGACCAGCAGCAGCGGGCGCAGGACTCTGGACCAGCGGACAGCGAAACAGTTTGTGGCCTTCAGCGCTCCATAGATGATCATATCGACCAGAGTGAGCTGCACCACACACACACACACACACACACACACACACACACACACGCACACACACACACACACACACACGAGTCAAACACTTTGTTCTCATGTTTGACACAGCTTTAAACACATTTAGCAGCAGATGAATAAATGAAATGACAAAGACGTCTTCACTTCTTCACCGAGGTGTAAAACAAGGACGCCCAGTTTCAGGACTTTCTTTTGTCACTGAGCCACTGGCTGAGAAAGTAAGATCTTATAATAATATTAAAAGTAAACAAATTGGAGGCCAAACGCGTAACATATCACTGTATTGCGACGACATTATTTTATATTTAACCGATGTGGAATCCTCACTTTTCCATCTCAATCAGATCATTACTCCACATGGGTCACTGTCAGGTCAACTGGGAGACATGAGTTGCTGCCTTTAAACAAAACCTGCGGTGTCACATGTGTACGCAATACTAAAATTAAATGGAAACAAACAGCAATAACATATCTAGGATTAAGAGTTACATCAAGCATCTGTCAAACACGGGACGTAAATCTCACTCAGACTTTTAATAAAATAAAAGCAAATATTGATGGTTGGTCGAGCCTTCCCGCATCTCTGTGGGGAAAATGAATATTCGTCCTACTGTCAACTACATTCTGAGAATGTTGCCTGTAACAATTTCAGCATTTATACGGCATGGTGAAACGGCACGATGTTTCTAATCCAAACAGAAAGGTGGACTGCAGCTTCCCAACTTTTTTCACTATTATTTATCATTTGGTTGTCAGCAAATAAATATGTTATTTGATACCTGTGTGATTAAAGATTGGAAACACATTGAAGAGAACATGTTGCAAAACTTAAACATTGGCACAAAATGTCTACATTTCATGAAGAACTGAACACTGAAGTGTCATTTAACATTTTTAAGTCATGTAAAAGATTCTTGAACACAGATACCTCAATAAACCAACCAATATAGCCGAACTCAAATATAACAGTGAATAAAAAGATCATTAGCTGGAAAAGCTGGAAGGATAATGGAGTAACTAAGCTCTGTCACATATTCTCTGAGAACTGTTTTAAACTGAGGAACTTTGTTTCATCTGTTATGGGATTGCTATAAAATTAAAGGGACAGTGTGAAATATTTTCAGCTATTTATTGGCAAAAATTGATTATTTTTCTTCCGCCAGATTTCAGTGCGTAACTTGTGCCACAGCTTTCAGCGCACACAGGGTCTTCATAAAACAAGGTTCAAAGTGTTTATTGTCATATGCACAGTAAGGACACGTGTTTCCCTGCAGAATGAAATTCGTTCTTTTCTGTCACCAATTAATGCTAAACAATATAAATCTGAAGTATAAAATAGATCAAAATATATACGGCGCGCACTGTTGTAACATCTCCTTGCTCAGTGTAATATTAATGTGCCTGACGCGGCTGGATCTGTGAGCGTTTGGTGGCTAAGAAGACTGTTAAGAGTGGGTCAGCTCGATCTTACAACTCCTTCTTAGTGAAAGATCTTCTTAAGCTAAGAGTGATCTGGGAAACGCGTCCATTATCATGTCAACATACAAGGAAAATGAGTTTATGACATTTAGCAGGAGAGCTAGAGCCATTTGACTAAAGCTGACGTTATCACTGCTGTAGCATGATGTTATTAGGCTAAATACTACATTTCTAACAGTGTCTGAGCTGATTTATTGACACAGCATGCTTGTAGGCTGCTGTAACGTTAGGTTTACAGAGCAAATAACAGGATGTGACTTAATCAGGTGTAACGCAAAAGTATTGCGAGGTAACGCAAAAGTATTGTGATGGAACACAAAAGTATTGTGAGGGACCGCAAAAGTATTGCAAGGGGACACAAAAGTATTGCGAGGTAACGCAAAAGTATTGCGAGGTAATGCAAAAGTATTGCGAGGGGACACAAAAGTATTGCGAGGTAACGCAAAAGCATTGCTAGGGGACACAAAAGTATTGCGAGGTAACGCAAAAATGTATTGCGATGGGACACAAAAGTATTGCGAGAGGACACAAAAGTATTGCGAGGGGACACAAAAGTATTGTGAGGTAACGCAAAAGTATTGCGAGGTAACGCAAAAGTATTGCGAGAGGACACAAAAGTATTGCAAGGAGACATAAAAGTATTGCGAGGTAATGCAAAAGTATTGCGAGGTAACGCAAAAGTATTGCGAGGGGACACAAAAGTATTGCGAGGGGACACAAAAGTATTGCGAGGTAACGCAAAAGTATTGCGAGGGGACACAAAAGTATTGCGAGGGGACACAAAAGTATTGCGAGGTAACGCAAAAGTATTGCGAGGGGACACAAAAGTATTGCGAGGGGACACAAAAGTATTGCGAGGTAACGCAAAAGTATTGCGAGGGGACACAAAAGTATTGCGAGGGGACACAAAAGTATTGCGAGGTAACGCAAAAGTATTGCGAGGGGACACAAAAGTATTGCGAGGGGACACAAAAGTATTGCGAGGTAACGCAAAAGTATTGCGAGGGGACACAAAAGTATTGCGAGGGGACACAAAAGTATTGCGAGGTAACGCAAAAGTATTGCGAGGGGACACAAAAGTATTGCGAGGGGACACAAAAGTATTGCGAGGTAACGCAAAAGTATTGCGAGGGGACACAAAAGTATTGCGAGGGGACGCAAAAGTATTGCGAGGTAACGCAAAAGTATTGCGAGGGGACACAAAAGTATTGCGAGGGGACACAAAAGTATTGCGAGGTAACGCAAAAGTATTGCGAGGGGACACAAAAGTATTGCGAGGGGACACAAAAGTATTGCGAGGTAACGCAAAAGTATTGCGAGGGGACACAAAAGTATTGCGAGGGGACACAAAAGTATTGCGAGGTAACGCAAAAGTATTGCGAGGGGACACAAAAGTATTGCGAGGGGACACAAAAGTATTGCGAGGTAACGCAAAAGTATTGCGAGGGGACACAAAAGTATTGCGAGGGGACACAAAAGTATTGCGAGGTAACGCAAAAGTATTGCGAGGGGACACAAAAGTATTGCGAGGGGACACAAAAGTATTGCGAGGTAACGCAAAAGTATTGCGAGGGGACACAAAAGTATTGCGAGGGGACACAAAAGTATTGCGAGGTAACGCAAAAGTATTGCGAGGGGACACAAAAGTATTGCGAGGGGACACAAAAGTATTGCGAGGTAACGCAAAAGTATTGCGAGGGGACGCAAAAGTATTGCGAGGGGACACAAAAGTATTGCGAGGTAACGCAAAAGTATTGCGAGGGGACACAAAAGTATTGCAAGGGGACACAAAAGTATTGCGAGGTAACGCAAAAGTATTGCTAGGGGACACAAAAGTATTGCAAGGGGACACAAAAGTATTGCGAGGTAACGCAAAAGTATTGCTAGGGGACACAAAAGTATTGCAAGGGGACACAAAAGTATTGCGAGGTGACGCAAAAGTATTGCGAGGGGACGCAAAAGTATTGCAAGGGGACACAAAAGTATTGCGAGGTAACGCAAAAGTATTGCTAGGGGACACAAAAGTATTGCGAGGGGACACAAAAGTATTGCGAGGTAACGCAAAAGTATTGCTAGGGGACACAAAAGTATTGCGAGGTAACGCAAAAGTATTGCGAGGGGACACAAAAGTATTGCAAAGTAACGCAAAAGTATTGCGAGGTAACGCAGAAGTATTGCTAGGGGACACAAAAGTATTGCGAGGGGACACAAAAGTATTGCGAGGTAACGCAAAAGTATTGCTAGGGGACACAAAAGTATTGCGAGGTAACACAAAAGTATTGCGAGGGGACACAAAAGTATTGCGAGGTGACGCAAAAGTATTGCGAGGGGACACAAAAGTATTGCGAGGTGACGCAAAAGTATTGCGAGGGGACACAAAAGTATTGCAAAGTAACGCAAAAGTATTGCGAGGTAACGCAGAAGTATTGCTAGGGGACACAAAAGTATTGCGAGGGGACACAAAAGTATTGCGAGGTGACGCAAAAGTATTGCGAGGGGACACAAAAGTATTGCGAGGTGACGCAAAAGTATTGCGAGGGGACACAAAAGTATTGCAAAGTAACGCAAAAGTATTGCGAGGTAACGCAAAAGTATTGCGAGGGGACACAAAAGTATTGCGAGGGGACACAAAAGTATTGCGAGGTGACGCAAAAGTATTGCGAGGGGACACAAAAGTATTGTGAGGTAATGCAAAAGTCCAAAAAAAAATCTCCTGACTTGATCTTTAAGGGGCTCCGTACTAGAGTGCGCTATCTGTTTGAATGCAGTAAACGACTTCAGCGTTAGAGGGGAGGAATTCCTGCACACTGTGGCTTTAAAGATGGCTTGGTTTAACAAAACAGGCAATGAGCCACGTTAGCATAAGTATTCCTCTCACACCAGAGTCATGTAAACTGGGAGATGTACACACTTTTAATAGAGTTTCATTAAAGGATAAAAAGGTCTTCCTCTCTGTATGTGTGGTCACAAAGAAAGTAATCACAAGTCATTGAATTTAATCAGACAGCACGGATCACTGCAGCAACAGAAACTATAAACTTTCAGGTTGCAAAATAATGAGGCAGAATATGTTGAACCATGGGCACCAGTGGAAAATTATGTAATGTCAAAATGATGTGCATGTGTATGTGTGTAATTGTCCAGTTTGTATGTCCCTTGTTTGTTTTGTTTGTATTCTGTCTGTCAATTATAAAGAAATGAGCTTCTTGTCACATCTGAAAGGTTTGTTCACACTTTCTAATCTCACCTCCGTGTTTGAAATGTTTCAATGTCGGTATAATGAGCTAAAACTTTTTTGTCAATATTTTTTGTTCCTCCTTTTAATGTAATGCCTTGATGTTATTTATTCTTTATTATTATCCTCCTGGAAAAATGTTAACAAGGACCGACATCAAATAACCATTGATCATATTAATGGTTCAAGTCAGACTTCATCGTCCTGCTCTAATATGTGATGAGCGGCTGCAGAGCGTCCACTCACTCTCTGTCAGGCTGGAGGGATCCTGCAACACATTCCTGCTCTCAGTGATTCACTGAGCAACAAAACTATGATCATCTGAGACGCTCATCTGACAGCACATGAAGATGAAGGAGTGAGCAGAGAAAGGTTCAGACTACAGAAACTTCAGGCAGTGAGTAAAGAGCAGCAGTATTTCAGATTATTTCACGGATCCTGATTGGTCGCCTCAGTCACTGAGTCACCAGGAAGCCTTTCTGCTTTAAAGGTGCTGACGATGCAGCTTCACCGGCTAAAGGTTGTTTCACAACAACAGACAGAAAGTCTTCTCAGCACATTCTGACCCTGCAGCTAACAGACAGGAACTCTGCTCACAGCAAAAACCAGGAAGTGACCTGGCTCCAAACTGCATCGCTCACCAACTGTCACCAGGACATAACCTCGTCCCCGAGTCCAAACTCTTGCACATGTTTACACTCACTCTCTGCAAGTCTACGCAGAGTGGGCTACGCTGTCCGAATCCAGAAACTCAAAGAATTCAACCTCCTGTTCCTCTCAGGCCCTGATCACACAGGAAGCGTTCCAGCAGCCGGAGGTGCCTTTTTGTAGTTGTTGCGTTTTTGGGCCTCGAGTCTCTGCGCTTTGGCGTTAAAAAAAACTTTAACTCAAAGTGGAAAAGCGCCCCATGTCATCTTTTTTCCCCATTGTCCAAGTTTACAGTTGGTAACCAATGGAGGAGAAACTGGTGGTAGTGGTTGCTGGATACCCAGAGCTATACGACTTTACAAAGCACAGTTAGCACCATGTCAATAGAAAACAGCAGATAAGTGCAGTACTGTAAACGTCCATGATGGAGGAGAAGCTCCTGGACCAACTGGTGGTACTCCCCATGATCCAGCCTCTTTTTTAGGGTCTCATGTACCCACACAGATCTCTGTTTATCTGCTGACAGCCTCTCACCCTCAACCAGAGCTACAGACAGCACCCTCTGCCTCAACATGACATGTTTGAATAAGGAGGTGAGTCCCTGGTTGCCTGGCAACAATAAAAAAGCGCAGAGTGTGTTTATTTTTTTCCACTGTGGAATTCAATTTTTAAAAAGCCAGTCTGGTGCACCTCTCGTTTTGTGCGTGATCGGGGCCCAGTCTGTCCAAACATCATGAGGAGATTCTTCTTTATCTGCTGCCTCGAGGACGAGCCTCACATTCACTAACAGCTAGCTGGTTAGCACACGAGCTACACACCCTTCAAACCCAGTGACTCACTGCAACGTCACGATTCTGTCCTTTCACACTGTAACAACGTTACCGCAACATTACAGTTGCCTTAATTTACGTTGCTGCAACATTGTTGAAATGTTACAACACAACAGGGATTGTCTGGTGTTTAACGTCTGCTCAACGTCCTCTGCGATATGTTTCTTACTCCAAACAATGACGTTACTGAAAGAAAATCTGTGCAACATGTTATCAAACAGCGAGCTCGCTCACAGGCCGGCGAGCTCGCTGTTTGATCTGGAAGGTAAAATTTATTTAATGGAAAAAGTTTCAGTTTGGTACCAGCAGCCTCGTCATTAATGCTTCAGCTGTCAGCTGTCTGCTTTCAGTTGAAGAGGCTCCTCCCACCAGACTGATGCTGTTAATAAGCCCCTCCCACCAGACTGATGATGTAGTTAAGCCCCTCCCGCCAGACTGATGCTGTTAATAAGCCCCTCCCACCAGACTGATGATGTAGTTAAGCCCCTCCTACCACGAGGATGACGATGATGCAGATGTTTTTGGGATCTTTCCAGAACTTGTCTCGAGGGATCACTTTGGCGTAGTGAACGAGTCGAATGGTGAAGACGAGCAGACAGAGCAGCTCCACCAGCATGGTGGCCTGAAAACACAAGGACACACACACCGGTCTGAGGTACTGGTTTAAACTGGTTTAAGACTCTCAGCTGGTGACTTTAGATCCCACTCAGTCTGTTTGAATTCCACGTTACAGATCAGATGATGACCACATGAGATACTTGAATCTGATTGGCTCTCAGAAGTTGAACAGAAATTAAAAATCATGTTTGACTTTTATACACATTTGGTCGAAATATTAAAATAACTGCAGACAAGCTTCAGAGTGAGTGTTGGTTTTTTCTTCCAATGAGGTGCACGTAATAAACAGAGGAAGCATGAAACAGGAGCGTGTTTGTGTGTCAGACAGCGGCGGCCATCTTACCCATACAGGAAGAGGGAAGACGGCCGGCTCCTCGAAGATGGCCAGAGACAGATCGACCAGGATGAAGAAGTAGAGGAGCACCTGAGGGATCCAGTGGTTGTAGCGCAGATACAGCCTGAAAACACACACACGTCCGTCGGTTCCTACTGAAGACGTAAATCTGTACAGACACTAACATGTGCTTTCATCAGGAGGAAACAGGAAACATCCACAGCACACAGTGCTTGTACACAGATACATTCACAGCTGGTTTGAACATGAAGAGAATCAGTAAATCAGACCTGTGCTTTAAGAATCATGAAAAAAAACTGAGGTGATCAAACTGTGAAGTTTAGCGTCAGAGGTTCTGAGCTGTGAGTTTCAGGAGATTAAAAATGTTCACGCCTCACCTCACAGCCTGAGGCGACGTGTCGAAGTAGATGTTCCTGTTGTACTGAGCGTCCGACACGTAGATGGCCGCCAGGTCGAAATCCTGAAACACACACGCTGTTATTATTACGGGTTCAAGCCAGAAGGACTGGGGCGCCATGACTAAAGGTCAGAAGGTCGTAACTCCTACGCCGTCAGTCTGAATTAAAGGACACTTGGTCCAGACATCTTCACTCACTCTTCAAATCTGCCTCAAGAACCTCCAAACTCTGCTCCACCATTTTGGATTTTTTTGAAAGACACATTTTCGACATCCTCTCCTAAACCGCAGGAGCTTTGTACTGAATCTTTTGTGGATCATCTCTGAACCAAGATTAACACAACTAATCAAAAGCTTGTTGACCAATGAACATTAAAAGGGGCGTGGCTCAGCACATAAATAGATCAAACTCTATAACCATTGAACTAATCACATGGAGACCTGGGCGCAGCTTTGGAGGCGGGGCCTCGTTCATTCCTATGAAAGTTTCTCATATTAAATCGTGTGACTCTTCTAGACTTTCTAAATGTTATCTTAATACTGAAACGAGTCATTCTGCAGGGTTTGACACTCACAGATAATTTATCCACTGATTCACTGATGTCTCGTTCCCAATGAAAGTTCATGTGAAAAATCTTTTTGGGCCTCGTGACATCATGTGACGGATGCAGACGCTGTAATTCCACTTTTGGCCACTGTGTAAAACTGGCTCCAAAGCCCAGCGCTGCTCCTGAGGGATTAACTAATCATCACGACCCTTGCAGGATGTGTCCACATAAGTTCCTGAAACAACACTGACAGTTTCATTCACATCGACCACCAGGGGGCGCTACAAGTGCAAACAAATGGGTGTGGCATAAAACACATCACACTGTAAATCAGAAACTGTTCGTCCAATCATTATAAAACTGGCAGGATGTGTTAAATAATAAGATTGAACCATGTGTGTAAAATGAATTTGAAATCCCTCTATAGGGGGCGCCACCTGTTCCAAACAAGTGCACTGACATTACGCAAAATTTGTCCAGCCTGTTCTCATTCCCATATCATCAATACCGCCACTCAGTCAGTGATTTTGGCGTCAGATATCAATGTAGAAAGGCACCCTTTGTGGCGGTGTGATAAGTCGCCAGGCGATAGCGCTGCTGTCAACTTGGTTATATACAGAGCTGGAAGGTTGGTGGATGGGTCCAACAAACCCTGGTGTTACAACCAGAACACCGCTGTTTGCCCTCCGTGTGCACGAAGAGCCAAACTATGACGTTTATTTCTAACCCTAACCACGTGCTTTTGTTGCACAAGGAAATAAACGTATAAACCAAAAGTTTTACAGACGTAAGTTTATTGTGCAAAAGACCGTCAGCGTCTAACGAGCAGAAACTGAAATGTTTTCTGAGACCACTGCATGTACAGTAACAGGCGTAAACTGACACGCCGTCCTGGAATGTCAACAGCAGACGCAGGAGGTCGCCTAGCGCGTCACATTCAGACGTGAGAGTCCACTGACAGAGCAGCCATGTTGGGATGAGAACGCGCTGATTGTCCAAACATCACTAAACCTGGTGGATATTTTTAATCCAGCTGTCGAAGCGCGTCCCCAAAATGTTTCTGCAACAGACCGACAGGGGGCGACGGCAGAGCAGAAGAAGGGCGTGGCTCGGCACAGGTTCGACCATAAATGAATGAGCGTCTGTTGGTCATGAAACCTGTTGAGTTATTTTCAATGCCAGTATCAGAAACTGTCTGAAGTCTGAAATCGCTGCTTTCAGCTGTTTGTTATTTTCATCATGATGCAGCTGAATGAAAACCTGCGACAGTCTGAACACACAGATCTCAGCTTCACAGAGGAAGAGCTTGTGTGTGAGCTGCTGTGTTGGATCGCTGAGATCAAACTATAAATCATCAACACATGGAAAGAAAAGAGCAGTTATTTGATCATCGATTCATCATCTCAGAGTTTTGGACTGTTGGTTGTACGAATGCGAAATCTGAAGATGTCACTTTAATTATATTGAACTTATATTCCTGGCTTGTCACACACTGACTGATCCATCATTAAAGACACACAGATGAAGTGGCAGTGGATCTAAAGGTTGGTTGCAGAGACACTCGAGGTCTTGTCCTGTCTGTCAGGACAGAATGAAGTGATTTTAACACTCTGACTTCATTAAAGGGACATAAAGCGGGCCAACTGCACATTAATCATTGCCTTGTGTTCAAATGAATCCTTCACATGAAGCTGACTTAGTTTCCAAAGTGACTCTTTAAACAGATGAGACACAGAAACCAAAGTGTCCCATCAGAGAGGCGCAGACACAGTTTGTCACCAACATGTTGTGAGAGCTGGAAGTTTGTGTCAACTGTCTCCTTCACTGTTTAACTGCTTTATGAGGCTGAAGGGACAAGAGTCCACCACCATCATCCTCCTCCTCCTCCTCACTTTACTGCTGTCATGTGAGAGACACAGCTCAGTGTGAGCAGCACAAGCATCAGCTGGGACTTGACTCACTCTCACCTCTTTGCTTTTTGCAGGATTCCCTCCGTTTGGAATTCCTTTTCCTTTTCCTGCAGACTCATCAGGAATGTCCTCGCTCTTCTCTGGCTCAGACATCTCTCCAACTTCCCCACAACGAAAACACAAAACCAACTGCCCTCCACAAGTTCTTATTAGTAGCTCTGCTCCAGGAGTTTGCAGACTGTCCGTCCGAGGCGGGCTGTTTGTGTCTCTGCAGGACAAAAGTCCAAAACGTGTCTTTCCTCTCAGTTTGAGTCGTAAACGTCCATCGGTGAAGATCTACATCACATGTTGTCCTCTGTGCTGCACGTTAGCGGGACACTTGAGTGTGTGTGTGGACTGATGGTCCCAGCTGCTGTTTGTCCTGCGCTAATAAACCAGCGCTCGTGCTGCCTTCACGGACCGGAGGAGGGAAAAAAGACACTGTGACGTGGTATGAGGCTCGTGACCCTAAAATATAGACTCGGTGATCAGCAACATGTTATTGGAGTTTGAAACGAAGAGAAACTTATAATAATACAAAATAAAAAATATATATATATAAAAAAAACAAAGTTGGAGTTCTGAAAAAAGAGAGAATTATAATGTTAAAAAAAAACAAAAAAACAACATCTTTATAGGAATTTGACATTAAGAAAGAATTGTGATTCAAAAAATGTAATTATACATTTTTTATTGGAGATCAAATAAAAAGAGAATTATTATAAAAATAAAAGCATCGTATTGGAGTTTGAAATAAATAGAGAATAATACTGCTGAAAAATAATAAAATAGCATTTTGTCTGAGTCTGAAATAAAGAGAGGATTATTATAATAAAAAATAAAAAGAATACAAAAAACATTTTACTAGACTTTGAAATAAAGAGTGAATCATAATAATAGTAATAATAATAATAATAAAAAAGTAAAAATAATTTTAAAAACATTTAATTGGAGCTTGGAATAAAGAGAAAGTTTTAATAATAAAAATACCAAAAAATAAATTATTGGAGTAATTTTGTGACATCGACAGGACAGAAGTTTGGTCTTTACAACAAAAGTTTCTCCTGATTAATGAGGTCAGAGAAGTTTCATCTCAAAAGATCCACAGATTTTATTCACTACATGTTTTGGGGAGTTGTTCCTGATCAGCTGTGAGGGTCCAAAGGACAGAGGGATGTCGTCTGCTGTAAAGCCTCTGAGGCAAACTGTGATCTGTGATATTGGGCTTTATAAATAACATTGATTGATTGATTGAATCATGTGTGAATAAAGTTGAAAGGTGACGCTGCTCTTTTTGTGAATCTCATCCTGAAACTTGCTTCATTTATTGTGTCCTGTAATTTTACATATGCGCTGAGGAAAGATATCACTCAAATTAAATCCATTTCATTTCACTTGTCGCTAAATTTCACATTCACAAAATTTACAAACAATAAATAAATTCTTTGCATTTATTTACTTGTCAACAGTTTCTTCCTCACAAAACAAAAAGCTGTCGAGATGATGAATGTACGCAAACAGTGAGCGGACATTCGTCATCATACAAAGTGCAAGCAAGAAAAATGAAACATCACAAACAAATATATGAGCAAATGATTCTATGTACACATGCACATAACTGAACATATTTCTTATACTTATTCTATTGATGTGTGTACTGTGGTGAACACACTATATGATGAATGTAACACTGCTTCAAACACGTTTGTATATCTTTACACACTTACAGACTCAGCACAGTGAAGATATATATTTTATTCTTAATATCTAATGTACTGGTGTTAACGTTGCAGCATGATGCACATTTTTATTTCTATTTCATTGTATGACTTTCTATCTACATACTTCAGAGGTCAAAGGTCAAAGGTTCATTTATTGTCACTCAGTACATGTGTGCACACTACAGAGCGAAATATGTACTCCGGTCCTGATACAATAACAAAGGCAATAAAAGAGGATAAAAACACATAAAAACATGTAGTGCAGTTGGACGGTCCAAACTAGTGTCCACAAGATGGCAGCAAATAACAATAAAGATAATAAAGTGCAGTTGGTCACATAGTCAGTGGCTTACTGCAGGTAGGGAGGACAGGGAGCTCCCCAGCCTCAGCGCCTCGGGGAAGGAGCTGGATTTCAGCCTTGTTGTTTCGCTTTTAGGCTTCTCAGCCTCCTGCCAGAGGGGAGGAGGGCAAACAATCCGTTAGCAGGGTGGGTGGGGCCCCTCATAATGCAGGAGGCTCTGCTCCTGCACCTGCTGATGTAAATGTCCTGGATGGAGGGGAGGCAGCAGTTTGTTATCACCCTCTGCCTCCCTCTCAGTTCCCCTACCAGACTGTGATACAGGATGTGAGGATGCTCTCCACTGCACTGAGGCGTTGGTCACACCTCTACTTTCATTATTCTCACTTCTGATAACTGTCTGTTCTTTCCATCAGAGCGACTGTACGGACTCATAATTTCCCTTCGTTGATCAGTCAAGTATTTCTGATTGTGATACAGCAGCCTGTCACAGGGGCGTAGATACACACAGTGCAGGCAGTGTGGCTGCTCTGGGGCCACTGGGGGGAGGGGCCACCCTGGATATCTTCCTGTGCTCAAAGAGGAATGATTAAAAAAAGAATATTTCTAATTCAAAGACGGTGACATTTACTTTATGTGTCCTTAAAAGGGAAAGCCGTCTGTGTCACGGTTTGCTTTTTAGTTTTTAAAACAGTCAGCAATAAACAAAATGATGTGCTTTAAAATCTATAAACAGACTATAAAAACTCTTCAATGAAATGATTAATTTTCTTTGATATTTCTGTGCAGTGATGAATGCTGGGTAATATGTATGTTGATGCTGTCCGAAACAGCTAGGATCCAGGAGCACAGCAGGAAGATGAGCTGCTGAGTGAAAACCTCAGGCAGCACAAGAGGAGGACCAGCCATCGTGGAAGGACGAGACCCTGCACGCCGTGTTCCACCGACAGATTGAGGAAGTGAGCGACATCAAGAAATCCCACCGGCGACAGGTCAGCACATCACAGCAGGGTGTGAGGTGCAGGCAGGAAGTGGGGCGCCATCACCAAGTGGCTGGCACAGTGTACAGGAACATCTGCACTGAGTGTGGGCTGGAAGTCCCAAGGTCACAGTGGAGGACACGTCCTGAAGTGGCGGAGAACGAGCGAGCTGAGATCCAGACTGACAAACTGCTGATGGACGAACGACAGGAGAAGAAGACAGCAGCATCAGGAAGAAGGAACACGAGAAGCTGAAAGAGGAGCAAGAAAAGATGTGGGCAGTGAAGGCAACAGTGGTGCCAGTGGTAAGGGGAGCACTGGGAGCACTGGGAGCACTGGGGGCTGTGACCCCCAAACTGGGAGAGTGGCTCCGGCAGATTCAGGTTCAACATCTGACGTCTCTGTCCAGAAGAGTGGAGTCCTAGGAACAGTTAGTCTGGGTGAAGACACACCACCATCACCCATATGTTATATATATGTGTGTGCGTGTGTTTGTGTGTGTGTGTATTTTTGTTCTGTCTTTTATAAATTTATCACCATTCATCTTCATTGTTTAACTCTCTCTCTCTCTGCTCATCTCATCATTTATATTTTGCGGATTTTCTGTCTTTTTAAATTTCAGTTCAAACTCTGTTTGACGGACTGAAGCTTGTGTGTGTTGCGTTCACTTTGTTTCTGTGTCTACGTCTTTCTTCCCGGACTTTTATCGGAGGCCGTGAAGGCAGCACGAGGCGTCATGTGACTCCCAGCGGCAGGATACCGGAAACGGAGCGAGAGACTTTTCAAAGTGGAAACACAGACGGAAGTGACTGTTTTCACATTAACGACGTCACTCACGTTCATCTGCAGGAGAAACGTTTGAGGAGAAAAACAGAATTTACACAGTGAGGTCACACCGCGACCAAACCGTGACGTCACCGCAGGGAGGACACGTTTGTACACTGTAAAAAACAAAGCAAAACGTTAAAACCTTCAGTCTCTCTGCTGCCTGACACGTGACCTGAGGGAAAGTGCTGTCACATTTATTCTGTCTCTTTATAACAACGTTTTATTCATTAGACTCCAACAGGAAATGTTTGTCTGTCAAAATCACCAACAACAGAATCACCGCTTTTTGTTTAATGTGATATGAATATAATACAACACTCACACAGCTAGTGTCATTTTATTTTAGGGTGGAATTTCCCTTGAACATGTTCACACCCTGAACAACAGCAGAGAGATGCTCACTTTATGTTTCTGAACCATGTTTGTTTCTCTTCATTCCTGAATCTGAAACTTGTAAGTGATTACATCATCGTTAGGGGACTAACTATTATTAGGGGCCAAGCCCGCGGGGCCTGGGGAACGCGTATGCAAGCAGGAATACACAGTGCGAGGGAGGGCGGTGCAATTTGGAGGGTTGGTCCAGACCCCTGCAGGGACCTCAACAATTACACCCGTGCACCTGCAGGGGGCGCTACAATCTAGGCCAACGCGTTTGGCATGTAACTCCCACACCGTTTGTC